TAACCTATCTTTTTTATACCTTCATAGCGATAGGTAATTAGGTATATAGGAGGATGGAAAAAATGTATTTGGGCTAACTTTACGCGAATGCACATTATTTTATTTATTTTGTTTTTAATTTTTTTAATTAAACTGTATACCAATTAATTGATCCTTCAGGATTTATAATTGTTTTTTTTTTCACGATTAAAACCGCGTAGAAAGTTTAGGCATTATAGTTGACGCATGCGCCATAGATTATACACTTATGGCATGCGCAGTACACATATTTTGTATACATTTATTCAACTAATACAATTAATTAAACAAAAAATGAGTAATTTCGAAAGAGAACAAACGTATTTTATATAAGAACAATCGAAAATGAATATTTACGAGTAATTAAGGACGAAAAAATATTAAAAATTGCAATCGAGGGGCTAACTTTTAGATATATTTTTAATATTTTTTTTAAAATAAATAAATGGGGAACAAACAATTATTAACAGTGAACAATCAAGAACAAATGATGAACAAACGAATTAATAGAAAATAAGTAGAAAACAGGAAAAAAAATTATTTTTGAGGGGCTAACTTCATTCACCCAAAAAAGATTAGGTACATACCTAGTGTCATTTAACTTTTTTTACCATGCAAAGGGCATTAGGTACTTAGAAAGGTAGACGAGTTAGGTAATGACCCACCTTGTATTGGTGGGTTCTGGAGTCCGTAAACATTAACAATGAAAATTGCAAGTTAGCTTCATGGTAGAAACAAGTAGGGTGGTGGATTTCTGTCATGAAGGAGTCCCTAATGCATTCATATAAAGGTGAAGCAGACGTTGAACTATACAACAGACTTAGTAGTCTAGTTAATTGAACACATGATTTAAGTGTTTCACTATAAAAAATGTTACCTGGTTACAGTGGCATCAATGCAAAAGATTTCTGTTTTATCATGTGTATTGGCTGCGATGGCTGGATGGTACAAATAAAAAGACAGATTTGCTTATGAAAAAACTTATGATATTTATTTTAACTATTTACATCACAAATGCAGTCAATTGTACTCATTCATACATAAAGTGAAAACATTATCAAACTCTTTTACAAATTTACAATTAAGTCTGCATTATTTCTAAAATGTTCCTAAAGTCCAACCAAAATATCAAATGAGCTTTTCTACTACTATACTATCTTATATTAATAAGGCGCATATCTTCTTGACGGCGACGGACCTCGCATTCCGGGCCTGTAAAAAGTATTTGTTAGAGGTGATGAAAGTTGTTTACATATTATATACAAAATCATTTAAAATTTTAGGTTGATTTACCTTCTGTCATCAAAAGTATCTCTGCTAAAATCTTCATACATTCTGTAAGAGAAGAATTTTTTTTTTAAGATATTTATTTTTAACAAACTAGCATATGAGTCGACTATTAACAAAGCCGGCAATCTGATTTTTGGACAATGATTGGTAAATCAGAAAAACGAATTATTGACTTTGTATTCCATTGGCAGTCACAAAACTCTTCGGAACGACATCTTAGATAAATAACAGGTTAACTATTAACCTTCAATCTGTATTGACATATCAATAAATTTTTTTTGTCCAAATGCACAGATTGCCACCTTTGATAATAGACGACTCATATGTGAGTTGTCTATTGATTGATATGTCAATACAGATTGATTTGAATATAATTGTCTCCTTCAAAGAATACGGTTCAAAACCTGCATTAAACAAAGGTTAATAGTTAACCTGTTATTTATCTAAGATGTCGTTCCGAAGAGTTTTGTGACTGCCAATGGAATACAAAGTCAATAATTCGTTTTTCTGATTTACCAATCATTGTCCAAAAGTCAGATTGCCGGCTTTGTTTTATGAAAAGAAGCTTGTATGTTACCCTCTGGACATCTGGGGTCCTGGTGGGGGGCTTCTGCGGCTGTACATAGGATCATAGGAAGATCTCATGGAACCCATTCCGCTCCGCAGTGGAGGTAAATTAGGCATGGGTGGCATGGGTTCGCGGCGTAAGGGCGGAGAAACGAAGTCACCGCGAGCTCCTCTAGATCCGCCCAATTCCAGCCCTCGTGATGCTCCTCCAACTGGATAGCGTCGCTCGAACAAGTCCCGTGGAGAATCGAACCGTGAACGATCATAGTACCCGTCATATGGATCCTGTCGAGGTGCAAACATTATTAAGTGATGACCTAAAAACAATAAGTAATTGAAAATTAAAGCCGAAATCGAGTAGCGGTCGTAACCGAGAAGTGGTGTCACCGATCCCGGCGTGTAGCGAACGGTCAGAGTGAAGCACCGCGACGCGCTCGGAGGGAGACCGACGGCTCGAGAGGCGATAGTAAAGTAGAACGCGTTACCCCAAATCCTCCCATCATGCGATCGCGAAGGAAGGGTGGCGGCGGCGGCGGAGGGTAGGGATCGCGGCCGAACGCTCGATCGCGGAAACCGTTGCGGTCGGGGCCCAGCGCCTTCGGGCACTCCTTGGACCAGTGGCCCCCGCGGCCACAGCGGTAGCACTGCTCGGGGTCGCCCATGCCCGGCCGCTGCCGGACACGACTCGTCGACAACTGCACCTTCATGGGCTGTCCGTCGACCATCATACCGTTCAACTCTTTGATAGCGTCGTTCACATCGCCCGTCGCGTCCAAATGCACGAAGCCGTAGTTACGCACGATATCGCACTCGACGACCGTCCCGAACTTCTGAAACAGCTCGCGGACTTCGGGCGCGCGCGTCTTGTCCGTTAAATTACCCACGAATATTTTAGTGGTTGGCGTCGACGGCGCCTTCCGGCTCTTGGCCGCTTCTATTTTGATCGCCTGCCCATGAACTAACTCGCCGTTAAGATTCTGAATGGCTTCGCGGCCGACTTGTTCGTTTTCCATGTGCACGAAACCGTAATTTCTGACGATATCGCATTCTACGACCGTACCGTATTTTTCGAATAGCGGTCTAAGATCGGCTTCTGTGGTTTTATCAGAAAGGTTCCCGATGAAGATTTTGAAAGTACCGGTGCCCGGCATTTTAGATTCTGAAACGCATACATTTCACGAAATGAGTCAGCAGCGTCTGAAGCGATGGTATTTTTCCGAGAATATTAACGAGTACACGGGATAAATGAAATTTGAAATAATACTTACATGGGTTACTATGTACAAAGAATAACAATATATAACACAAGTTAAAAATATGAACACCAAATAGACTACACGAATTACCTACGCAGTATACGTGACGAACTCCGCTACAAAATGGCGTTCAAGTCGCCGCAATGAATGAATGAAAATACAAGTCACGTCGACAATCCATTCACTCATACATCCTAACAAATTACCAGACTACAAAATGTTATTTTTCCGCCTAATATTTGGCGACATTATTTATTTTACTCTGTACGAAGCATTTATGGGTTTATTAATAAAGAGCTACGTAAAAAAGTAATTGAACAAATGTTTCACTAATGCAACCAGTCCAACCATTTCTGCATTTCCTTGAATGACTGATTCTCAGGGCAATATTCGGCATCTTCTATGACTTCCATCGTCGCAATATCAAGTGCAAAATTTAGTATCGCATTAAAACATTTTTAAATTTTGTATTTATTACACAAAAAATAACAAAACAAAATTGGTAGAGATTGTTCTAAAATCATAGTATTTGTGGTTATCAATCATTATCAGTTAACAAGATTTTCTGTTAAAAATTGACCTCTCTACGGTTGTTACTAAGACCAATTAAGCTCTACCCGTTTTTCGACCCATTGTGATTTTCCTTTATTTACAAATGCTCTTGATATTGACTTCATTGCCCACAATAAAGCTAATTTCATGGTAATTAATGAATTGGCTAGACATATCATGGCAACTTTTGACTTATGTCAAAATCCCTCGCGACCGTCACTGTTTTTGTAGACGTTCTTTTTGATAAAAATATAATCAATTTGTAAATTGGAAAAAAAACAATCAATTAAAGCAAGTGATCGTTTCGTATTTTTGTGATCTCTTCGGTCTCGAAGCGGGAAAACCGTTATAATTCAGCCGGTGAGTACGTTTTCTATTTATAAAAATAAGAACGTTGTGCTCGAAAATAGATTGTAAGAAAAAGAAATTGATGTATTCACCAATTTTGTTTAATGATTCCGTACGTTGTTAGGTATCGCATGTACTGAGTATGCACGTACTGAACATATTGCCGAGTAAACAATTTGTATTTAAGCGCGCGAATTTAACTTCTCCCTATCTAATCATTTTATCACCACAAATCATTGATGGTGTTCACAGTTATTAATTTAATAGCTACCACTTCATTATGTATGGTAATTTATGTGTAATGTCATAAAGAAAAAAAAAGCTTCAAATAGATTTTCTGGATAAACAAAGTTAATTGGCTCATAGCTTAACCATTCAGTTTTATCTATTCCAAAAGTTATTCTTGCAGGCTGTTATATTTACAACAAGCCTAAAAGATTCTCCAGTATAGTTGTAAACTTAAAGACATACTGTTGAACATAGTGTGGTTCAGAATTTATTTTTGATGAATTTTAACAATTGAATGAATGTGTCGCAACACGTTTTTACTAGGTACAATGATCGAGCTAGAGGATGATTAGCAGCAAGAGATATAAATTAAACTTACTGAAAATGAACAGAAAATGTAAATAAACTAATAATGACACAGCTTAAACTAAACTACTAGAATTGAATGAACTTGAAATTAAAGGATATATTTTTTGTGGTATTTAAAAATTTCTACTTTCTATTTCAATCATTAGGGTTTAATGTTTTAAAGAGTCAAACAACTCCGTTATATTACAGTTATCACTTTAAGTCTCAATATATTTCAAGTCAAGCATTCAAACTCCATTTTGAATCCTGAATTTACTTATCAAATGCCTGGCAATACAAAATTTAATTAAATACATAATAATAATGTAATATTTATAAATATGTTTTGTGACATATCTTTTGGAAGAGATTACAACTTTAATTGACCTTGGCATTGATGTTATCAATTTTAATCGTCATTCACAGTTTCTTAAAATATAAACATTAGTCATATGCTTACGCTTACGGGAGTCAATATTTTTAAAAATTATAAATTGCTGATTTTAGTAGTGTTGGTATCTGCATTACCAACATGGTGGTCAGTCTGACACAGATTAGACTGAACTCCTTGAAGTAACTCCAATGATTAGAAATGAAGAGCTTATTATATCCTGATAATGGTATTTGTTCATAATAGTATTTGCATTTGAGGTATTGCTTTAAGACATATTAGAGATGACTCATATATTCATATAATATAGAAGATTTTGTGTTAATAAATCCTTCCTATACTCATATTTGATAGGAATTTCAGATATAATTTTTAAACAAAAACGAGATAAAAAAGATTTCTCCCTGCTTAAGAACGAGTAGTTTTCAGGAATGCAATGGTGGATAGAGACCTCATACTGAACACTGTTGCTACTCGGTGAATCAATTGTCCAAATGCTGTTGTTCAGAACTCATATAATAAATAAGGAACATAAATACACACATGCAATATGAAAATGTCATTGGTGGTATAATTTTTTGTCAAATATCTTCTATGCTAATATAGGTACCGTCACATGACTTCTTGGAAGCTGGAAGTCATAACAGTAAGTATCTATCTCAAACTTGGAAATATCATTAGTGCTCTTCAGTTTTTTTATCAAATATCTTACATTAGATGATGACCGACCTTTGCTTGTTTTTTTGATAACGCCATCTTGTTGTGTCTTTAAAGCTGTTAGTTGCCCTCAATTAAAAAAATAGTATTATTATTCGCCAATAGATGTCAGGAAGAGTTAATTATTGAAAACATGAATAAAACAAAAATTTCTGAAAATAAATAGTAGCTAGATCGATTTATCGCCCCCGAAATCCCCTGTATACTAAATTTTATGAAAATCGTTGGAGCCGTTTCCGAGATTCAGATTATATAGATATATATTAATATACAAGAATTGCTTGTTAAAAAGGTATAAGATTCTACGAAAGTTACTGCTTGAGTTTAATACTTTTTAATACTAAAGCTGATGCTAGTAATTCCAGTTTTTTATTTCAGATTAGAAAGATTAAGATTCTTTACATTGTTTGTTTGAAACAAAACAACTAAAAATGTTTTAGCTGCATTAAATGTCTATATTGGTTCAACTAGTGAACTAATATTAGGCCTTGTAATTAAGTCATTAATTATTAGAGCGGGACTGATTTGTTACAAATCATACATGAAATCAGTGACAAACTGGTACTGGTGGTTACTGGTGGTAGGACCTCTTGTGAGTCCGCGCTGTTGGGTCCACCACCACTCTGCCTATTTCTGCCATGAAGCAGTAATGCGTTTCGGTTTGAAAGGTTGGGGCAGCCGTTGTAACTATACTTGAGATCTTAGAACTTATATCTCAAGGTGGGTGGCGCATTTACGTTTTGGATGTCGCATTTACGTTTTGGATGTCGCATTTACGTTCTGGATGTCTATGGGCTCCAGTAACCACTTAACACCAGGTGGGCTGTGAGCTCGTCCACCCATCTAAGCAATAAAAAAAAAACCTATTGGTTCAATTAGTGAACTAATATTAAGTCTTGTAATTAAGTCATTAATTATTAGAGTGGTACTGATTTGTTACGATTCATACATGAAATCAGTGACAAAAAGGTCTGTTTTCAACTTCTAATTTAATATACTCAAAGTTGGGAAACTACTGGTAGGAAGCCGTCTGCACATGTATGTACGTACGTCCACTTCAGCATCTATTTCGTAAAACAGTTATGCGTTTTTTTTTATTTATTGCTTAGATGGGTGGACGAGCTCTAAGGTCTCAGTATAGTTACAACGGCTGCCCCACCCTTCAAACCGAAACGCATTACTGCTTCACGGCAGAAATAGGCAGGGCGGTGGTACCTACCCGCGCGGACTCACAAGTGGTCCTACCACCAGTAAAAAGTGCTGTTGTAGAATACACTCGAGATATTTATCTCACGCCTCGAATTGGGTTCGGTTGCCACTAGGCACAGCTTAGGTTATTGGAAATCGGTCAAGTGACTTTGAAAAATTACTGACACTCAAGATTTTACGTAATACATTTTCGCAATGCTCAAAGAAGGCTCAAATCAGCTGACAAACAGAGGAGAAAAATTCTAGTGTACTTATACTCATCTTACTAAATACTTGTTTGTTTTACATATTCATATTATACATAAAGAAATAACGAAAAGAATAAAACATAACAAAACAAACATAATAAAAAAGAAAAAAAAGACTTGAATAATGTTAACGTAAATAATTGTAAAGATTTTCTAGTGGACTGCTTTTTCTTGTACAAATACAAAGAAGTACAAGTACAAATACAAAGAAGTTGGAACATATTCTAAAATTATTAATTAAAATAAAGAAAGGTACTATTTTAATCATACGTTTATTTAAATAGACGATTCAATTGAAATAGTTTGATGAAATGAAATACTATATATTTTATTTCATCAAACTTTTGAGATATTTAAATCATCGATAACAGTTTATATTATATTATTACCGCTTACAATATTTTTCACAAATCATTTCATTATCTACTATTATGTATTGCGAATGGTGTTGCCTCGTCACTTTCCTGAAATCAATGGCTTGCCGATCGCACAATCCTTTGCAGAATACATTGACGCTTGTCTTAAAACAGTTCATTATACTACCCGTTGTCAACCGGCGGTGGATGGCGTTACAATAGGAGTAACTCTGCGTTAATGTAATGTGGTACGCGATGGGGTAGAGTGAGAGGGAAGAGGTGAGAGGGAGTTAGTCGTCGCTCGATACCTCGTGTATTGTAGGGGTGTCCCCTCCCCTCGTCAAGTGGGGTTATATAATTCAAAGCTTTGTGGTGTTGCTACATGTAAAAATATATTAAACAATACTATATTTGTATTTCGTGGTTTCAAATAAAAACATCAAGTGAATCTATGATCAGTTATTCAAATCGATATTTGTAATGAACGAAATACGACCATAACTGCAGTTGTGGCGAAAATAAAAACATTCCTTCCGAAAACACGTATACCAATTTTTCAATACATTTGAACGTAGCTACGGGCCATTAATAATTTTTGTTTTTAAACAGATACGTCAACAATGTCAGAGGCTTATCCACTTACACACTACTGACTTAAATATAATTGGTTCCGTATGCTTAGAATTGATGTTGATAAAAGAAAATATCCATCTGAGGTTATGCGCGAGAAAATATCCATCTTAGGTTTTGAGCGTTTTTCGTTTAGTTTTATTTGTCCATTAAATTAAAAAGATACCGTTTAGATTTATCGGGCACAAAAAGTAAAATGTTCAATAATAGAAAATCTCAAGCGCAAGGGCCCTGATTGGGGCCGGAAATTTTCACATAGGAGTTGCTTAAATAGCTTTGATATCTGTATACTCGAGCACAGGGTCGTTGTCAGGGTCGCTCATTTGGTTAATCGTTTTCTGAGAATATTTAGGCTATGTTTCGTATTAAACGTTTCATACACAAGTGGACCAATGATAATAATAGAATTTATAAAAAAATCTTCGCAAATGATTGCTGTCTCTACGTCCTCTGAAAGTCGTGTGTACGAAGCGTAAATTACATTTTATTGTTTAGGTGACGGTTGCATTTATGTCGAATGCTTCTCAAATTTTTTCGATTCTCGGTTTCTTGACAATTTTTTTTTTAATTTGACAACATTTCTTAAATAGTAATCGCCATTAACGTACACACATACATACCTTTGGAATTTGGATACACTGAATTGACATTTTGACATGTACACGCTTATTGTTCCCAATAGTTTGCAGATTTTGCTTTTTTTATTGCTTAGATGGGTGGACGAGCTCACAACCCACCTGGTGTTAAGTGGTTACTGGAGCCCATAGCCATCTAACCTTTGGAATTTGGATACACTGAATTGACATTTTGACATGTACAAGCTTATTGTTCCCAATAGTTTGCAGATTTTGCTTTTTTTATTGCTTAGATGGGTGGACGAGCTCA